CTAGTTAAAGCCCCATACTTTCCTCCCCGCTATCTTGGCCCCAGGCTGTCCTCTCACCTGTTCTGGACCTAGGCCACCCTCCTGATCATCCTGAGACTTTCACACAACCCTGGTAAGTCAGACCCAGGGCACTTCAATGTTATTTCCCTACACCCTAACAAGCTACATGCTCTCTTCCCATACTGTCCTCACTCTGCCTTGGTGCTAGGCCCCACTCACGATCATCCTGCCTGAGACATGCAGACTACTCTGGTAGGTCTGACCCTGCCCACTATGTCTTCATTGCACCTCACACTGACCAGGTACATTCTCTCTCCCCATTCATGCCTTCTGCATAGGCACCCTTATGTTCATGCCCTCTGAGAACTAATGAATAACCTCTTAAACCAACACTGCCCAGTGTATCTTAAGTCCCCTGTACCCCAAGAAGATACCTTGTCTCTCCTCAGTCTGTCCCCATTTCCACCTTGGGCATATGCCAACAACTGCTCATCTCCCCTGACACTGGTCTCCTAAGCCACACACTACCCACTGCTTCTTGATGCCCTTGCACCCAGACTAGCTACCTTCTCCTGCTTCAGGATCCAAGCCTAATCTTCCTAGTGAGCTAGACAATCCCCAGGCTGTCTCTTGAACTGCTCTGGACCTAGACCACCATCCTGATCATCCTGTATTAACACTTCCAGACAACCCTGGTAAGTCAGACCCAGGCCACTGCACCATTATTCCCTTACACTGCAACAAGCTACATGCTCTCTTCCCATAGGGTCAAAATTCTAGCCTTAGGTCTGGGTCCATCATGTTCAACCTATCTGCAAACTCTGACTAGATGCCTAAGCAGACACTGCCTAGAGCATCTTATTTCCCTGAAGCCGGGACAAGCTACATTCTCTCCTCATGTTGTCAACACACTTGTCTTGACCCAAGGCCATAATCCTGCTTCTGAGTCCACACATAATCTGCCTAGTTAGGTATATCCTCCCCATTATGTCCCTACCCCTCCATTGACCTGATCCCCCTCTCCTCATCATCCTGCATAAGACATACAGGCTGTTCTGGTAAGTCAGAACCGACTCACTTTGTCCTGATTGCCCTGCACCCTGACAAGCTACATTCTCTCTCCACATTCCTGTCTTGGGCACAGGCCCCCTCCTGCTCATCACCCCTGAGCACTCTTGACTGCCTTCTTTAGCCAGACACTATCCACTGCTTCTTGATCCCCCTTCACTCAGACAAGCTACATTCTCCCACTTCAGGACCCATACCTAACCTAGGCAGCTACTTGACATTTTACACTCTGTCCTCATCTCAGCCTTGGCCCTAGGCCTTCCACCCATCATACTGCCTGAAACCTCCAGACCCCGCCTACTGTGTCTCCATTCCTATTCCCCTGCACCCAGACTGCTTAAATTATGCAGCTTCAGGGTCCACACCTGCTCTTCCTAATTATGTAGACCCTCCTGAAATTGTCCCCTCCCCTGCCTCAGCCCTAGGCTTCCCGCCTTATCATCTTCGCTAAGACTCCAGACTACCCTGGTAGGTCAGAATCCCATCCACCACTTCTTATTTTTCCCTTACTATCTACATTTTTTTCTCCCCACTCTATCCATATTCCTGCCTTGGGAATAAGTACTCTACTGCTCCTTCTACGCTGAGAATTCCTGGCTGGTCTCCTATGCCAGATATCTGTGCTGTCCCCACCTCTATATTGACCCTAGGCCACACTCCTGATCTTCCTGCCTGAGACTTGCAGAATAATTTGGTGATTCAGGACCCATTCACTGAGGCCTGATTTGCCTTGCACCCAGACTAGCTACATTCTCCTGCTTCTAGGTTGACTTATAATGAGACTCTCTAGGTGGACCCTCCAAATGTAATCACCATCTCTGCCTTAGGACTATGGTCCCTACTGATCATTCTGCTTGAGACTACCAGACTACCCTGGTTAGTCAGACCCTGCCCAGTGGGCCTTTAATGTTCTGCACCCTGACCAACTGCATTCTCTCTCCCCATACTGTTGTCATTCCTGATTTAGGCCTAGGAACCCTCATGCTCATTTTCTCTGAGAACACCTGACTAGCCTCCTGAGATGGACACCATGCATTGTGTCTTGATTCCCCTGCACAGTGATCAGATGCATTCTCTCTCCCCACCCTGTTCCCAATACTGCCTTTGGACAATGTTCCCTTATGTTCATTCCCCGAGAAGTCCTGATTGTCCTCCTAAGCCAGATGCTGCCCACTGCATGTTGATATCCTGAACCCACACTAGCTATATTCTCCTGCTTCAGAGCTCACACCTACATTGCCTAAGGAGTTAGACCCTCCCCATGCTGTACCCATCCCTGATATAAACCTATGACTCCCTCCTCATCAACCTGCTTGAGACCTCCAGACTACGTGGTTATATCTGAACCTCACCCACTGAGGTTTGATTCGCTGCACCCTGAACAGTTACACTGGCTCCCTACTCTGTCCACATTCCAGCCTTGGGCCTAGGTGCCTTCCTGTTCATTCCCCCTGAGAGTTCCTGAGTGATCTCCTTAGCTAGATACATCTCCCACTAGATCCAAATGTCCTTAGACCCAGAAGAGCTACATTCTTCAGCCTCAGGGTACACAACTAATCTACCTAGATAGACAATCCTGACCCTGTCCTTACCTGTGCATTGGCCCTAGGCCCCCAACTGATCATCCTGCCTAAGATTTCCAGAATACCCTGGTAAGTTGAACTCTATCCGATGAGGCTTGGTCTGTCCTGGACCCAGGGGAAATACATTTTCCTGCTTCAGGGGCCACATCTAATCTGTCTAGCTAGTTAGATGCTCCCCCTGCTGTCTCAACCCGTCTTGGCTGTAGGCCCCACTCTTAATCATACTGCCTGTGACCTCCAGACTACCATGAAGTCAGAGCCTGCCCAACTGACACTTGATTTCTGTGTACCCTGAGCAGCTACATTCTCACTCCCCTCCTTAGACCCAGCCAAACTTGGTCCTAGGCCCCCTTCTGCTCAACTATCCTGAGATCTTCTGAATAGCTTCCTTAGTAAGACCCTGTGTATCTTGATCTCTCTGCACCCAGGCTAGGTATATTTTCCTGCTTCAGGGTTCAAACCTAATCTTCCTAGCTAGTTAGACATTCCACACTCTGCCCCGACCCCTGCCTTGGCCCTAAGACCGCCTGCTGATCTTGCTGCCTGAGTCCTCCAGAATATGCTGGTAAGCCAGACCCCAACCACTGCTGCTTGAAAGTCCTGGACCCTGACAAGCTACCTTCTCTCTCCCTAGTTTGGCCCCATTTCTGAATTCAGTCCAGGCCCCCTGCTGCTCATCCCTCCTTGAGAACTCCTAACTTCCTATGCAGACACAGCTGTGTCTTGATTCCCCTGTTCTCTGGCCAGACTCTGAAACAGTATCTTGATACCCCTTCTTCCAGACTAGTGATATCTTGCTTCAAGTTCCAAACCTAATCTGCCTCGCTAGTTGGAATCTCATCCATTCCTTGGCCCCAAGCTCCTTCCTAATCCTCAGGCCTGAGACATGCAGACTACCCTGGCAGATCACACACTACCCACTGTGTAATTCCCTTACACTTTGACCAGCTGCACTCTCCTTTTCCCCTCTGCCCCCATTCCAAAATTGGTCTTAACCCCCCTCCTGCTCATCCCCCCAGAAAACTTCAGACTGCTTTCCTCAGCCAGACAATGCTCACTATCTCTTGAACCCCTGTAACCAGACTAACTAGATTTTGCCACTACAGAGTGTACATCTAATCTTCCTAACAAGTTAAGACTCTCTCCCTGCTGTCCGCACCCCTGTCTTTGTCTAAAGTCAACCTCCTAATTGTCCTGCCTGTGATTTCTAGACTATCCTGCTATGCCAGACCCCACACACTGCAGCTTGATGCCCCCTGCACCCAGACTAGATACAGTCTCCTTATTCAGGGTCCAAGCTTAATCTTTGTAATAGTGAGACATTTCTCACTCTCTCCCTACCCCTGCCTTGGTCCTAGGGCCCCCTCTGGATCTTCCCTCATGAGACCTCCAGACTCCCCAAACTCTATCAGCTACACCTGATTGCCCTGTACCCTAACCAGCTACATTCTGTCTCCCCATGCTTTCACCATTGCCACTTTGGGCACAGGCCCCTTTCTGCTCATTACCACTGAGAAATCATGACTTGCCTCCTAAGCTAGACCCTATTGACTGTGTGTTGAACCACCTGTCACTCAGACAATCTGCATTCTCCAACTCAGGGTACATACATAATCTACAGAGCAAGTTAGACCATCCCTAGGCTGTCCCCACCACTGCCTTGGCTTTACGCCCAACTCCTGATTATGCTGTCTTAAACCTCTAGACTTCCCTTATAAGTCTACTGGTCTTGGTTCACCTGCACACACTGACTAGCTACATTATCCAGCTGCTGGGTACATACCTAATCTACCTGGCTAGTTACATAATCCCTACCCTGTTCTCACCCATACCTTGGCCCTAAGTCTTACTCCTGAGCTTCCTGCTTGAGTCCTCCAGAGCACTCTGTTAAGTCAGACCCTGGCCACTCTGACTTGAATGTCCTGGATCCTGACCTGCAATATTGTCTAAGCCTTGCCCCCATTCCTACATTCAGCCTAGGACCCCCTCGCCCACTTTTCATCCTATGTATGTTAACAACCTACTTCAGAGAGTACTCTCATCATTATGTAAAAGTTATGTAACTGAAAATAGCACTTGTGAATGGAATGTCTTAAAACATACCTTGATATTTTGTGAACAACTTGCAAAACTCATTTCTGTGAAAAACAAAATTGAAATTCTTAATTGAGGATGTGAAAATTCAGTGTGTTTTGAAAGAAATATTATGTAGTGTTTTACAAACAACAGAGTTTATATGATGCAAAGTTGAATTTTCTAAGACCACTTAAATGATAGGCAAAGGTAACTTTATACATAATATATATTATATATAGTTATGTATGTATATATATGTAAATCACCTCATCTCTTCCTCATCTTGTGATGAGGATGTGTCCTCACTGTCATCACGGTCTGTTTTATCATCTGCATTGAAGAGAAAGAGGAAAAACATCAGAAATATTTTGCTACAGGGTTTCTAGGGCTCTTCAACAAGCAAAAGTTTTCCTTTTGGTTTGGTTTGAATTCTTTTTAATTTCTAAGACGTTCATACATGTATACATGTGATGAAATTAGGCATAAGTCTTGTATATGCATACAAGTCTTTTATTTGGGTATGTGTACGAGTCTTCCAAAGTGAAAGTCATTTTACATCATGACTTTTATATCAATACTGTTGGAAGTGAGGATGGTACAGGTCAAGAACAGGGACTCTAGGAGCCCTGCATCTGTGTCCTGGGGTGGGAACATCACGTGAACCTAATTTCTACAACCTGTGTGTTAGACAGAGTTTTTAGCGTCTGAAAAATCCTACAGTCTAAAGAAACAATTCTGTACCTAGGGTGTCTGTATGCCCCACATGCCAATAAGTAGGTCAGACTGTGCCCAGGGTCAGGCACAGTCTTGAGGGAACCCCTCTAGTTTTACCTGGCTTTTGTGGAGCTCTGCGCTCAAAGTCATCATCAGATGACGAATCCGTATCGTCTCTTAGGCGCTTTGAAGTTTTGCTGGTAGCCTTCTTGGGTAGCACGTCCATTGTCTCCCAGAACTACACAACTTCTAAATGCTGTGATTGAAGTGACACACAAAAGACACCAGAAGAATTAGAGTACTGGAAAAAGTTACCAGGGCTCCACAGTTGGAGAGGTGGGGTACCCTCCTCATTTTGCAGGACCAGGAAGGTTCTGGAGGGACACACCTGTCCTGTCCTGTGTTCAGTGCTGCATGTCAGGCCCACAGTGTCCTACACACTTTAACCTAAGTTGGTAATGTTTGGTTCCTGGACCTCCTGTGATAAAAAGCTGGGCCCTGTATCCTTCCCATCCATCCAACTTTTGTCTGCACTGGTACATGGTCAGGAGGTCCAAGATACCTAGTGCTGATTCAGATTCTATTGTCATGTGGAGTAAAATGCACATGTGCCACACACTGAGGTAAAAACCCCTGCCTCCTTGATTAGGACGCCACAGGAGCACCTCAAGGGAACTGTGTCCTGAGGAGCCATGGCCGACACGAAATAAAGATCCTCTGTACTCCTCCCTTACCCGAAACACTATTTCACCGTGTCCCCTCAGGATTTAGGGGGAAGGGTGGACCCTTCTTTTCCCTAACGGCTTTCAGGAGCCTCGACTGCTCATGGAGGCAGCTGCAGATAGATACTCGGGGACAGGGCCTGAGGCCAAATGGGGCCCTCTCTCCTGGGCAGCCTCAGTCCCGTCCCGGAGCCACACAGATCCAGTTGCCTCAGGGCTGGAGCCATAAAGCAGAGTCCCACCTCACACAGGTCAGCCACCTGGGTAGGCAGGACTTACCACAGAAACTTCCGCTCGTTTTTCCCCTCCGCACCGTCTTTCTCCTCAGTGAAGTCGCCTTTTTCCTCAGTAGCTTCTAGAACACAGCCAAGATGCACCACCCTCAGTAAGACTCCCACTGATTGGCTGGCACAATGCACGTGCTTGAGTTGTGCGCATGTCCTGCATGAGCTGGTGCGCTGTGCGTGCGTGAGCCGGTGAGCTGTGCGCATGCGTGAAGTGTGTGCGCGTGCGTGAGGTGTGTGCGCATGCGTGAGGTGTGCGCGCATGCGTGAGGTGTGGGCCTGTGTGAGTCTTGGCGTTCGAGACAGAGCTCAAGTGTGGCTGTATTTTCTGGCTGTGTTTGCTGGCTAGCCATAGTTGATAGCTACTGTGGCCCTGGCTTCCAAGGTTTCACTGCCAGTTTCCGGGGGAATAGTTCTCGCAGTACCTCAGCTTGCTTGCCATGCCAATCCAGGACAGGAAGCAATGAAGCCCTCCTACAGGAATGAGACCTGATCCATAGACAGCTCGTGCTTTTCACCCAGAGGAAGAACCTCCATTTTATTCTGTTCTCTTAGAAGTCCCCTAGCAAATTAGCTCCCTTAGCAACAACAAACATGGGCTCCTCTTTCCTGATATCCACGCCAGCATTAGTATGCGAACTCAGATTAAAACTGACTGGAGAGGTGGGTTGGCTGTTAAGAACACTGACTACTCTTGCAGAGGACCCAGGTTGGATTCCCAGCACCCACATGGCGGATATCAGCCATCTGTAACTCCAATTCCAGAGGATCTGACACTCTCTTCTAATCTCTGGGCATTGCATGACATGCATGCACTTAATACTCACAGACAATATATTCATGCAGATAAAAAAAATATATTTAAAGAAAGTCTAAACTACATATTTTCTCAAATATGTAGAGTAAATTTTGGTAAAGGGACAGGAAGGATGTCTTAGAGTTTAAGAGCACTTCCTGCTCTTACAGAGGAACTGGGTCGGTTTCCAGAACTCAAATGGAGGCTTACTACCTTCTGTAACTCCAGTTTTGGGGTATTCAGTGCTCTCTTTTGGCCTCTGTGGCCATTGCACACAGGTGGTACACTTATATACAGGTGCAGGCAAAACACTCAAACAAATAATAAAAATAAAGTTTTAAAAAATTTGGGTAAAGTATAAAAATAGCTAGAAAGTCTAAGAGAGAGTAAAAAGAGGTGCTAAGGATCTGAAGTGAGGAGCAAGTACTTACGACTTGCAAGTTGCAAGGTGACCAGAGGGAGGCTACAGGGAGGGAGCAGAGCTTTACAGGGCAGGGGAGATGAGTGGAAGAAGATTCTATTAAAACAATATTTGAAAATGTCATAAGAAAATGCAATCTTTTTCAGTCTAATTTTCAACTTGAAATTAAAATTTTAAAAAGTCCCTCCCATTGTAAGAAGCTGGAAATGTGTCTGCGTAAGTTCCTACATGGCATTGCCTCAGGTCCCTCTCCTCTTTCTCCAGCAGCAGAATCAATGCTTCACGTCACTACCTACTGTTCTGCTGCCTCCTCCTCTGTTCATTCTTGTGTCCTTCCCTGCCTCTGCTTTACTGCATGTTCCACACTGCTCCCAAGTTTTCTGTTCCTTCCTATACAGCTGTGGCTTATGAACAGTATATTCATCTATTTCCTGTCCATGGGCTTCTCAGCAGAGCTCCCCTAAATGAATTGTGGCTGCAAAATATTGGCCAGTCAGTAGAAAGATGCAATTGGTAGGCTAAATCAGTTCTACACAGCTACATTTTACAGTTACCACTTGGCAGAGGACACATCTCCTGTTATGCAATATTGCCCTCTCTTCATTTAAAGGAAAATTAATATTAGGTAACTTTATGGAAGTAAGTTATGTATCTTAATTTTGGTTGTTTTGATGGGTTCATGGATGCACACATGTAATCAAATTTGTAATATTTTAAATATTTACATTATTCTTATACCTCACTGTAGGAATTATTCCTCAGTATGAGTAAATAAAATTTAAAATGGCACATGAAATTGCCTGAGAGAAAAAAATAATCACTCCTTCGCTTTTCAAAAAAGTCACTTTGGTTACTACGTAAATTTCTTTTTTCAACACCAGCTTCATTGAGATCAGGCCTATACTAAATTACTTAAACTGTATATCTGATAATAAATGCATCATCCTAACCCCACCAAATTAGCAAATCCACCTACTGCTTCCAGAATGTCTCCTGAAGCTTTCTTAAATATTTTATTTATTTTTATTTTATGTATATTAGTGTATTGCCTGCATGTGTGTAAGTACACCTTTGTGATGCAATGCCCATGAAGGTTAGAATACAGTGCTGGATCTCTTGGAACTGGAGTTACAGATGGTTGTTATCTGCCATGTTGGTGCTGAGAACTGAACCCCGGTCCTCTGCAAGAGCAGCCAGTGCTCTTAGGCACTGAGTCATCTCTCCAGCCCCTGAGGCTCCTTTATAAGTCTATCTTCTTCCCCTTTCTAGTCAGTTTAATATGCAAGCCACCAAACTCTGTTTCTTCATACAAGAGTGTTGATTTTTTGTTACAGTATTTTTTAAGTTAGCAAGCAAACTGATGGCTTTCATTATAAAACTTTCACACATATAATGTGATTTTTTTTTCTTATTCGTCTTCTTTTCCCACTCCTCTCCCCATCAACTTTGATGCACTCTTAGTATCTCCCTCCACTCCCTAAACAATACCTTCTGCTTTCATGTCACATGAGTTCCATTATCTATACTTCTCTCCATATAAGAGTTCTTCCTTCTCTTTTATGGTCCCCTTCTTA